ATTCAAAAGGACAAAAAGCAAATAAATAACAAGCAGACAAACCGTCAACAGAAAATACATTTACAGGAGCTGGTTCTCGAGCTTGGTAATGCGGACAGTGAAAATGCCTCAATTTCATTCCTAGTTGTAAGAGAGTTGGTTGCAAATGCCCTGTAATGGCCCCACTTACCGGAGTGGTCTACACATAAATGCCGGCATCCCCAACCACCATCAAACAAATTATAGCTACTAATGCCAGATGTGTTCCCCACCACCTGAAGCCCTTCCAACTGCCTAGTAAATAGACAAGTTCCCTCTTCGTCTCTTCAATTCCCCACAGCATGGTCAACACAACCGCGCTTTTGTTTTTTTTTTTCAATAAATGCCCTTCCCTCCAAATGAGCTTTCAGGAAATCAAGGTTCATCTTTTGTTTCAAGATCCATTACTGATGACCCTGTGGCAAGGTTCACCCCATGGAACCAACTAGCAGCCTGGCTGAAATACTTCAATAAGACTTGAAGCCTGACCAAAATAGTTTTCTTGTCCTGGCTGTCATGGTATTCAACCCGTAACAACATGGTTTTCTGATTTGAAGAATTCTGAAGTAACTCGCGACCTAGCGAGGAAATGGTGAGTGTCGTGGATGGGTCCATCAACCGCTGAACAAAATGAGACTCCCCGTCGCTTTGCCCCAAGGTCCCTAGATATATTGTGTTGACCGGAGGTCGCAGCTCTATGCCCGGTTTAGTCTTCCTAATGGAATAGACCCGGATCGAAGCCTTCCCTTAGAACCTTTTCCTTGACCAGACGTGTTCTGCCCATGGATGCGAACCCCATCTCTTGGTTCCGAGCTGTGTTTTCTCTGCTGTTGAAGTATGGTTTCCTATGGAAGAAGCCGCCAACCTAAGTTGAGAATATTTGTCGACTGTTGACTGTGTGTCGTTATGATAATCAGGTGTATACCGTCACATAGACATTGAGATGATCCGTCTTAGGATGATCATCGGGGGAGAGACCGATTGTGGATAGGGCAATATTGTCCTTCATGTTACCAGAAACTTTCATGGTCACCACGGGATTGCCCCCGAATGTTGTGCAAGCCTGGGCTTTGGATAAGCTTAGCTTGATTCCCTCCGGTCCTGACGCTCTTTGATTTCCGAACTTATGGCCCTGCCCAAGTTTTCGGCCTCCGGCTTCTGAGGACAGTTTGATCTTGGAGACAACCCTGTGGATCAGTGGACTTTTGTTGCCTTTGGTGGAGGATTAGGACTGGTCACAGCCGGAGCATGAACTCTCAATTATGTTGCTAAACAGTCCCAAAAGTCTTGATGGGTCCCCTTGGCCATCTCCCTAAACAGATAACCGCATAGAATGTCGTACAGCCGCGTTCCCAATCCATAATTCGAAAGTGGTCCATGAATTCAAGTCTGTTGAAACCAGTCTAGGCTGACGTTGTGGCGAACCGCGCCGGCGGGAAATCATCTGGCAACCTTACGTCAGGGGGGAATCAGGGAAGCCGAGTGAAACACGCTGATGCATGTTGTACGTGGGTTTTGACTTCGCCAGTAATCGAAAACTGGGTGTCTTGAAAGTGTGTTGGTGGTCGATCGGTTACTCTTCACCGAAATGAATGCTAATTGCCTACCTCGCTTTTCTTGTATCCATTTCAGTTTTCCTGTTTGCAGGGGGCGCTGAGCTCCACAAATTAATGTATTCCCTTAAATTCAATGAATAATCTCTGTAGTCCCTTTCTTTAATTGGTTCCTGCTTCTGCACAACCAGAGGCAACAAAGACAACAAATTTTTCCTTTTCCGAAATTATTTTGGGGGGGCGGGGGGTTGAGTTAGCACTTGGTCCCTTGCGCCCTAGGTCAATAAATGAAAGCACATAAAAGCGGATCGTTTGATAAAGATCAAAAAGCTTACAGTCTTGAATTATAAAGAAGTGGGGTGACCATTTTTTATCACCTGCAAATTATTCACACAAAAATAACATATGCAGGAGCTCCCTTCATGAACAGAAACCTACTAAGTGCTAGGTTTATTTCCATGGTTTTTTTATCAATCTTCCAAGAAAATACGAGAAAATGGCATTGTTCTCCTGTTATTGCTAAAAGAATCCAATTACTCAAGCAAACCAGCACCACGACATCTCGAAGTCCGAATCAAACAGGCAGAGTAGGAAGGTCTTGAATCAATGCACTCATTACCGCAGAAACAGATAAAAAGGAAGAAAGAGATTTGAAAATTCAAGCTCTTGTATTGATTCCACTCTTGCAACATACACAGAAGTAAAAAAAATACTATTTTAATACCAATGGCTTGTTCATCCTAATACTCATTCGCCTATGTCCCTCTAGCCAGATTAAGATGGCATTAAAGCAACCGAGTTGCAACTGTCAAACGAACGCAATGGCATGAGATTTCGCATTAAATGAAGGCACGCACGCGTTAAATCCTTTTTTTTTATGCCTAACTTTTGCCTAAGCGTCTCCGTTATGGGTTTTCAACCACCTAGCGAGCTTACTTCTTGCCCCTTAAGGTTCGCGGCCTTTCGGTTTTGCACTACCTTTATCGCCCTTTTCTTGCAAATGAAATCATCACTTCAGACATAGAACCTTGTGTCATCTGGTCCCGATGATAACGATCTGATAAAAGTGTCCCTTCCATAGTGACCAATTCAGGCGGAACCTTTGGCCAATAACTTCGGAATTCTGAAAACCGGCCCACGCCACCACCACGCATTCTAGTGTGGGTCGAAATTTCAGCTAGATGACTTTCTGATACGGGTCCTAACAATTCTGATGTAATACTTAGAAATCTTCCATTTCAAAAGCCCTTGATATCCGCGCTTTTTTGTAGAAATGAGCAAAGTCTTCTCCTTTCTCAACTGATCCTGTACCCTGGCGTTCAGTCTTTCTCAGTATCTGAAATTAGCGGCGCAGAGTCTTTCATACTTCGTTTCCTTGACCTCATTCTTCTTCGGTCAGTACTAGCTCGCATGCATTATAACCCTGAGAGGACTGTCTTCAAGTCGATCAAGTAACACTACCGTTCCCGATCCTTCATGCAAGTCGAAAGGAGAAGCTCCATTCACGACTTGCAAGCAGTTGGATGCCCCCCAGACGCGCGAAAGGAAAGTTTCTCCAACCCGGAGCTTCCTATAGGTCGTCTCCGTCACATTTTGATAGGATTGCCTCTTAACCCTTATCTGCGCTCCACTACACCATTAGCTTGAAGGTCGATAAGGAGAAAAGGTGAGTGGCCAACCTTGATATTCTATAATAGACAACTGGCCGACCGTGTCCTGCTTGAAAGTGAGAAACCATTTGTCCGTTGACTTGAAAGTGAGAACCATTGTCCGTGACTATGTGATGAGGAACACCATAGCGACAGAAAATATTCTGTTCAATGAATCTAGCCACTTGTTTGGCAGTCAAAGTTTTATAGGATTGAGCTTCAATCCGTCTAAAAAAGTAGTCTACTGCAACCAAAATATATTGATGACCATTCGATGCTGCTGGTGTGATCTTGCCGATGATGTCTATACCCCATACTGAAAAAGGCCAAGAAGGAGTTGTTGGATGGAGTTCAACAGCAGGCAAATGGCTTTTGTTATCATGATACTGGCAAGCTTTACAATGACGAACATAAGTTGACGCAGTCACCTTCCATCTGCACCCAAAAGTAGCTTGCCTCATCATCCTGTTTCCTAGCCATAACTCTTCCACTCAAAGGTACCACAGACGCCGCTCTATTGAATTTTCTTTCTTCATAATCTCTTCTCCTTCCTTCTTACCTACACATCTTAGCAGCATTCCGTCCCAGGCCCTCCTATATAGTTCACCATCGGCCAGGACATAATTTAAAGCCATTTTCCTTAGAACCGAACGATCTTACTTTGTTGCATCATCAGAAAAGGTTCCGTTTTTCATGACCGCAGAATATTCGTAAACCAAGGTTCTTCCTCTGACTCAACCTGGTTCACAAAATGTTCTTCATAGCAGGGGATATTTGCTGCGGTAATGAGAAATGGCTTCTTTGGGACTTTACTCAAATCCTGCCAAGCTGACGCCATGTTTGCCAAAGCATTTGGGATTCTGTTATGAATTCTTCCTATGTGAGTAAAAGTGGTCTTATCAAAGAGTGCTGCCTTCTTCAACAAGTACTCAACATAGGGTTTCAACCTTTCTTCCTCCACTTTCCATCTCTCGTTAGCATGTTCGATAACCAACAAGTGGAATCTAGTGAATCTCCTATCACCTCGACTTCCTTAGCGCCTGATGCAAGAAGAGCCTCAATCCCCATGATACACGCTTCATATTCAGCCATATTGTTGGTGCTGGGAACAACAATCTTTTGCACATTATTGTCACCTCGCCGTTGGGTGCTTCTATCATGATACCAGCTCCAGCTCCATTTCTGTTGGTTGACCCATTAAAGTACAATTTCCAGACCCCTGTTTCAACACATAACAAATGTTCATCTGGAAATTCCAATTCCCATGATTGATCATCTACGATTGGATTCTTAGCCAGGAATTCTGCCACAACCCGACCTTTGACCGTCTTCTTCGTGACAAACTCTGCATCTACACTGGACATCTGAATTAGCCATTTGGACAGCCATTAGGTGTCTTCTAAAATTACTTCTAGGATCAATTTTAGAAACGAAAGTAACCCTGAGGAATCAAAGTAAGGCCTCAATTTCTTTTCTTTATTGACCACACCACTGCCATACACATTTTCTCTACCAAATTATACTTCTCCTCGATAGGCAGTAATTTCTTGCTGATGTAATAGATGGCCTTTTTCAGCAGCATCTGGTTGTGCCAACATAGCTCCAACTCCTGCATCCTCTATAGATAGGTACAAAATTAAAGGCTCTCCTGGTCTAGGCGAACTAAACACTGGTGGATTCATCAAATACTCCTTTATATGGTCAAAGGCTGTCTAGCAGTCCTCGTTCCATCTAACTGGTTGATTCTTCTTAAGCAACTTGAAGATCGGAGCGCAAGTGATGGATAACCTAGAAATAAACCTGCTGATATTACTGAATTTTCCAAGAAGCTTCTCACCGACGTTCTTTCTTTGGCGATTCCAACCCTGAAAGGCTTTTATTTTGTTCTGGTCCAACCTCAATCCGTGAGGTCTACAACAAAAGCTAACATATTCCCTTTCAGTTATCCAAAATACGCACTTCTTGGGATGAGTCTTAAGTTGTTTTTTGACCCGTGCGAAGAAACTTTCCAAACATCTTCTGTGGTTCTTACCTGCATTTTTTTCATGATCACCATATCGTCCACCAGATACCTCCATCCTTTAGGTCATGTCATGAAAAATAATGTGTCGCATATCTTCTGATTATTGTTGCCGGCGTTCTTCAAATCCGAATGCATCACCCTATGCAGAAAAATCCCCAAAAATCAGTAATGAGGCAGTCTTATGCGTGTCACTAAGGCCAATTCAAGATTTGTTTGTACCCGGAGAAATCCGTCCATAATAGAATACATCCTTTCCGCAGCACTGTCGATCAAACATTTATGTTGTGATATGTGTGGAAGTGGGAAGTCATCTTTGGGCGAGGCTTTGTTTAGATCCCTGTAGTCAACACAGACCCTTAATCTCCCATCCTTTTTAAGCACATGGACTATGTTTGCTAACCACTAAGGGTAATGTACTACTTCCAAGAAACCTGCATGTAGCTGCTTTTGGACTTCGGCTTGATCTTGTCTTGCCATTCTGGTCTGACCCGTCTCCTTTTTTGCTTTACTGGCTTGCTGTTTGGATCGGTGGTTCTAATTTACAATTGAGTGTTTAGATTTTAAACATATTAAATTAACTAAAATTTATATTTAAATTTTATTCAAACTTTATTTTAATATTAATAGATAATAAGTCTAGCATTAACTTCCAGTGTTTTCAAAGTGGTAAGGTCGCATTGGACACTGTCAAAATAAATACTTTCTCTATGTAATTATCATTTTCTTTTTTAATTGTAATAATCCCATCCCTCCCACTTGAATATTACTAATAATAATTAAATGAGAAGTTGTATTGCTGTTTGTCTAACATTAATGATAATTTACTTTGTTAATTGTTGGTTTGTTTTCCCCCCGGAGAAAATCAAACTTTTTTGCTCGAGTATTTAAATATTTATTTGAAAAAGGCAGTGACAAAAAACCTTTTTGGATGCGAATGCCGATAGATCGGTCTTATAAATCATTCTTAGTCGCCACCCATTATTTCGGCAATGGGACCGTTTCCATTTTTAATTTTATAAAAATGACTCCATTTTAATTTTTATTAAAAATGACTCCATTTTAACCCATATTTATTTAGGCCTCTTATTGAAAAAACTTGGTCAAAAAGAACAACTTGAAGTTCTAAGTAAGGGAAATTAGTACGTACGGCTCGTTGGAAAGCCGACCCCTGAAAACCGGTCTTAACCTCGATTCTAAATTTGATTTATTTTTAGAAAAGCCAATTATTTTAAAACCCAAACCCGCATTAAATCGGACCGAGGCTCCTAGTTGGAAAATTATTAATTGCCCCGAATTAGGTCCAATCATTGCAATCATCACAAATAAATCATATCATCATCATCCATCCATAATACCATTCAATAAATAAAAGACCCGCTCTTGCCTTATGGTTAAAGGCGTGGCCACAACCCGAATTTGATTAATATAATAATTAATAAACAAAAAGAAAAAATCTAAAAAAAATCTCATAATCATTAATAATTAATTTATCCGTGGCGCAACTCTCCTTATTCATTCTGGAATTTTTAGAACAGTCGCGTCACGCGGGTGTTCTATGAAGAACAGTCGCGTGGCGTAACTTTCCTTATTCACTCTGGGACTTTTAGAACAGTCGCGGCACGCGGGTGTTCTATGAAGAACAGTCGCGTGGCACAACTTTTATCATATTACTGGAAATTGGAACAGTCGCGTCACGCAGGTGTTCTATGAGGAAAGAACAGTCGCGTGACGGAACTTTTATTATATTACTGGAAATATGAACAGTTGCGTCACGCAGCTGTTCTATGAAGAACAGTCGCGTGACAGAACCCCTAGCTACGTGACGGAACTATTCGTGACTTATTAAAATTCTCAGCTTTATTGATTATTTATACAAAATATCACATTAAATGTGAAAATGAAAATAAAAGTATACTGGGTATTGTTGACGCGTGTTTTTATGCCCCGCCTGATCCGATGAGGACACGAGGATAAATGAATTAATGGTATTTAGAAGTCTTTTCATCCAAGGATTTTTATAAATAATAAATAAATAATTAATTAAGTAATTAAAAAATTAATTAATTAATAATTAAAATTAAATTAATAATTTAAAAAAAAAAAAAAAAAAAAAAAGAAAAGAAAATAGTAGCTGGCGTGCTACGTAAGCGCGTGCTACAGTAGCCGCGTGCTACAGTATTCGTTTGTTACAGTAGCGTTGACGCGTGCTACAGTGTCCTAGTACTACAGTGTCCTATTACTACAGTGTCGTGTGCTACAGTGTCCTCACTATTCCATAAATTCATCTCTTTCTCACAATTTTCACAACAACAGCACACACAATTTTTCACAACTCCACAAACGGCAAAAAAAACCCTAAACAATATACTGTGTTGCTCAATTTCTCTCCAAAAAATTATTATGAATTGATTTGAAGAGAAATTAGTGTTAGATATAAATTTTAGGTGATTTAAATCATAAAAATCAAAAAAAATCAAAAGATAAAAAAAATATATCAATCCTTGGAAAAAAGCTTCTGGAGATCTTGATCCATTTACAATCCTCAATCTGAGGATCAGGTAATTATTTTTTTTGTACATAATTTTGTGTTTTTACATATTCTTGTGACTTTTAATAATTTAGCCTTCTTTAAAGTATATTCTGTCATATTTGGCCATTGTGTAGTATCCTAAATACATCTGAACAAAATAATGTAAAAAAATAACTTAAAAAATGGATTCCTGGGCAAAAAATCACATAATGTTCATCGAATGAACAGAACTGTTTCATGTCAATATATTCCCAGAAAATAATCGTCACATGAACAGTAACTGTTATGGTTCAATGAACTGTAACTGGTTGTTCTTTAATTTTCCACACGAACTCTTAATCGATGAACGATAACTGTTGGTTCATCGTATTAACAGTGAATGTTCTTAATTTTTCAGAAATATATCTGTTCATACACGTATTCATGCACTATTCATTTTTTCTTCCAGAAATGATCCGATGAATAGTAACTGTTTGGTTCATCGAGATGAACAGTCATCATTCAATTATCCAGTAGAAATGAATAAATAAAAAAATATAAATTTGGACAAAAATAAAGTTTAATTTCTTCAATAAAGTCCTGAGATGCCCAATATGAACAGATTATAATTTAATTTGAGCTTTAAATATAAAAATGTGATTATTCATATATTATTTGTATGAATTTTATTATTTTATTATTCTGTATGAATTTTATTGGTTATGGATTTAATTTTTTCATTTTGATCTGGTATATATATTTTTGGAATCCGTTTGTTATCCGCCTTGAACCCATTAAGGCCAAGAGCGGTCTTTTATTTATTCCGATTTAATATTTTTGATTCGGTTGATCCCGCCTTAACCATAATGCAAGATCGGGTCGTTTATTTATTTGGTTTAAATTGCTTTGATTTAATTTGCTGTTAATTTGAATTAATGTATGTGATAATTAGATCTGATTTGACGATTAAATAATTTTCCAAACTAGAAAAAATCGGTCCGATTTATTTGGGTTGGGTTAAATAGAATAAATAATTGGCTTTTCTAACTAAATTAATTAGATCATAAGTTAATAATCGAGGCCCGTTTTCCGGGCGTGGCTTCACGGGCGGCTACCCAAATTCCGCTTACCCAGAATTCGCAATTGGTGCGCTGACCAGTTTTTAAAAAATTAATTTGGCCTCTTAAAATAACTTGGGTTTAAAAAGAAGTCATTTTAAAAGAAAACCATCCCATTGCCTAAAACAATGGTGGCGACTCAAAAATTATTTATAAGACCGATTATCGCCACCGCATCCAAAACAAAA